CAACAGCAACATATTTTCCTCTGAATTCATCTTCACATTAAACAGTCTACACAGTAAAGCCCACAAAGGAAATTCTGCTTTAAGCATCTATTTCCACATTTATTTCCATCAGAAATTTGTGCAGCCCTGAGGGGAGCATGTTTTGAAATGTAGTACTTTCCAGCCTTAATTCCCTTCCAACCTTAGCACAGGCCCTAAAAGCTCACAGGGTCCGGATGGCTAAAACTCCACTCCTCCAGTCTACAGTTTCTAATGTCCCACTTTATTGTCACAGTAGGGTTCTTTGGGCACTAAATCAACTATAATTTAAGTACGTCAGTCGTTTTCAAATAGTTAGGATGGATGCCTTATCAATTAGCTTTAATCAGAGTTATACTGAAGAACTATAGCATGTTAGAATAACTGATAAGTTAACTAGATAATTACATCTATAACATTATCCCCAAATTTGACTCTAGGGGTACGTCTAGACTACAAACCTCTTTCAAAAGAGAGCGTCTAGACAGCAGCCTCTTTTTTCAAAAAAGAGAGCCGCTTTTTCAAAAGAGAGCACCCAAGCAGTCTGGATGCTCTCTTTCGAAAAAGCACTGTTAGTGTTTAATAACACCTTTTTTCGAAAGAGCACTTTCGAAAAAAGGCATTATTCCTCATAAAATGATGTTTTCCACAGTCAAAAAACTGCCGCAGTCTTTCAATTTAATTTCAAAAGAATGCGGCAGCAGTCTAGATGCAGGAGAAGTTTTTTTTGAAAAAAGGCCACTTTTTTCGGAAAAACCCTGTAGTCTAGACACACCCTAGGAGTTGTATGCTCACTGACCACTATTGCCAGAGAAGGCAATACCTAATGTCCCACATCCATCAGAACTAAACTCTTTATTGCACCTATCCTAAAATAAATTCAATTTTTGCACATTTTGCAGATTTGGAAGGATAATGTTTACAAACTGAAGAATTAGGGGGAGTTATTCCACAGTTATGATTGCCTGACTTCTAACCTGTTTCTTAGGTTTATACCTCTGAGATGAGCAATTTGAAACAACTTCACTATAAATAAATATATAATTGTATAAATTTTAACGATCTACTCCAAACTATTCCATGCAGGTACTAGAATGCTTGAAAATTAGAAAGATATGAAAGCTGCATTACAGGAATCGGATCTCTAACAAAGAGAAAAAAATCTTTGCACTGTGAACTTGTCAGGTTTAAATTTTGAATCTGATGTTAATGAAAAAAACACCTTTTTAAAAAAATTAGCTAAACATTTTCTTAAAATTAAGCGATTAAAATGCTGATTAAAGTTTTTCCATGCTAAAAAAAAATCCTTTAAAATGGACATCATTCCTAAAGAGCAAAAAGATTCTGTAATTGCACTTACATGGAACATAATAATATATATGTGCTCCACCAAAAATCAATTCAGTTCATCCAGGTAGGGTTCTCCAGTAACTCCAATGGAAGTATTACACCAGGGAATCATTAGTATAAGGTTCCATAGCATGTTCTTGCTCTAAGGAACTAATGTAATTTAATTGGCTGTGATCAGTTTACCAGAAAAGTGTAATATGAATCCTGTTAAGTCAATGGATGTCCCAATTTCAAGTTTTGCTTAATAGAAGCAGTATAAAGTTGCAATAGAGTTTTCAATTTAAAAAAAAATTCTTATTTTCGGCACTTTCACCACAGTTCTCATAATTCTGAACTGCTTAGATACTGAAGGGCTGCATCTAGATTGGCATGATTTTGCGGAAATACTTTTAACGGAAAAACTTTTCCGTTAAAAGTATTTCCGCAAAAGCGCGTCTAGATTGGCACAGATGCTTTTGCACAAAAGCATCCGTGCCAATCTAGACGCGCTTTTGCAGAAATACTTTTAACGGAAAAACTTTTCCGTTAAAAGTATTTCCGCAAAAGCGCGTCTAGATTGGCACAGATGCTTTTGCACAAAAGCATCCGTGCCAATCTAGACGCGCTTTTGCAGAAATACTTTTAACGGAAAAACTTTTCCGTTAAAAGTATTTCCGCAAAAGCGCGTCTAGATTGGCACAGATGCTTTTGCGCAAAATCTTGCCAGTCTAAATGCACCCAAGGAGTGTGAAGCTACAGTTCATGGCACTTTGTAAATATTTTAATGTTTTTGGTCTGAAGTTAAAATACACAGAAAAACTGTTTAAACAAAAACAGAGAAAAAACATGCTAAAAGAGAAAATGTGTGTTAATATAAGACCCCAGAGCCAAGTGTAAATCAACATACAGTTTCAGTGCATCTCAGCATGTAATTCTCCATTTATATTTAAACTTGTTTTATGAAGGGAATACAGTATGTATTTCAGATCCTGTAGTATATTTAGTGAGGCAATCAAGGAATATGTTTAATATTGAAAAATTCTCAATGAGTTGGCATTTGTAGCCTATACTTATTATTTACAACTTATTGCAATAAGAAACAAACAAATTAAATACCTCAAATTATTTTAGTGATAGTTTCTGGATCTTTAATATATTTTAAAGTGTCATGCTGACTCTGACTCAGAATTATGAATCATTAAGGGAGGAGCATGACCATCGGGTAAAAGCCCAGCTGGGGAAGGCAAGACCCAACCTCATCCCTTCCACCCAAGGCTCCGCCCCTCCCCACCCATCCACACAAGGTCTGATCTTGCCTGGCCACATGGAGAGTCAGGGCTACCGTGATGCCCCCAGCCTGGCCTTCCCCAGCAGCAGGGGAAAGCCATTCTGCCCCACCATGGCCCCTTCCACCACCACCACCACCACCATCCCTGGTCAGGCTGCTGAGCTGGACTGCCTCCCCTGGTGGATGGGGGAAGCTGGGTTCCACATCATGTTTCCAGCCTTCCCCGGGGCTGCAGAGAGAAGGGCTGCCACACTGTGGTTCCAGCTTTCCCCGAAGGCTAGGGAGAGCTTGGTTGCCATGCCACGATGCCAGCGTTCCCCGGGCGGCAGCCCCAACGTTAGGCAGTTGGTCATGTAGGCAGTTGTGGGAAAGCTGTGCCTTTCCTTGCCTACATTACCAACCACTCATAGGTAGGAGGAAACAAACTCACATAAAGAAGTAACACCAAAATTGGAACACACCTCATATAGATTATTTCATCAAACATAACAATGAGTAAAAACAGAAAAAAAAACTTTCCAGTTCTTTTATTTAACATTTTAACTTTGTCTATATTAAGTTATATAATAATTTTCAAATTGTTTGGTTTATGGATTACAACCAAATACAAGTGCTCATAGGTGAATCTATTATGAGACTACCTGAAATCCATATTACATGATTAGCTTTAGAAGGATAATATGTTTGAAGAACTGGAAAATTTTCATAGGGCTGTATTTTGGCACACAATAACAGGAGACACCAAAAATTCATGCAAGGAAGCATGAATACTGCTTGCTGCTTACCACTTGATGATCAGGGATGAGTAAAGTGGTCTCAGTGCTGCTTAGGCCCTGCCAGTGCCGTCATGGGAAAGACATAATGTTAGTGATGATGCAAAGGCAGCAGGATGTTTAAAAAATTATTTCAACCAAAACAATGAAGCTTTGGGTTTGTTTTAGTCAAAAGTTGTGCAGAGTGATTGCTGGGTGCCAACCCCTGGAGACATAGATTAGCTGAATCATTTCATCATCTTTACTTCTTCAAACCAGATTGTTTGGATTGTAACCACTAAAGTTTTACATCAGCGATGGGCAACCAAGGCTATTGATTGGGCCATGTGAGTGGCCCTCCTTCCTCTCAGTGGGCTGCAAGATTGTTGTATCCAAAACAGTCTCCAGGGACAGAGTAGGTTTGCTGACTGCGCTTGCATACCTAGAATTTGCTGATTGTGCCACTTGAACCATAGCAGGACTTTGACTGGATGCCGAGGGAGTGAAGAGCTCTTACAGTCAATGTTGTGTGCAATCAGCATGCACCTTACTTCACATGCCCTTACTTTATGCCCATGTCACTTTAGTAATCCCTAAAGGAAAAATCACGCAGCTGGAAACCAGTAGAATTTGGCAACCCTGCATGTGGGCAATGATAAACAAAATATCTTATGGGCCGCGTATAGAACCCACCACTGTTCAACATGGTTTAGTAGAACATAGAAATGCATAGTTAAGAGGAGGAGTGCTTTTAAGGTGCCAATCCAATCTCTCTATCATTTATACAATGGGAATGCTTAATCAATCAGTAAATGCTTTGGAACTAATGATAATCTACCATGTGGTAAAGGAAAACCTTAGATAATCAGACTATTTCCTACTTGATTTTGGAAAGGGCTTTTTTTTTTTAAGGTCTTCCATCTAGAGTTATTTTTCCCATGTAAACTAGAAGTACTGCATGCACCTCACAATGAAAACCAGTATGATGAGAGAAATGATTTGGTTTTTGGAGTGAATAAGGCAAGGTAAATAATGACTGTGAGGGTAACCACATGCTCTGATCCCACCAATGTGAATAAATACTGCTTGCACAAATGACAGTTTATGGGGTGGTCAAACCTGTAAAAATGGAAAAGATAATGAATGGTTTGCAAAGCATCTATAGAAAATGCTGCTCTAATATCTGATAACCTTTTATGCTGACATTTTAAAAATCTGTTTCCAAAGCTAAATCACAACATAAAGATGGAGTTAAGCAATGGGATGTGGTAGGACATAAAGTGCTGCAGCAATTCCAGAGGATGACACAATTGTGAAAATATGGCAGCTGTCCACCAGTTAGAATTGATGCTGGACAGAGTAGCCTACTTATTTTACATAACATCTTTGGGTATTAGAACTGTGCAGTTAGGGTATTGTGATAATGAAATTCCAATAATTCATCTTGAATAATGTGCACTAAAATAAAGTAAAAAAAAAAAAGCCAAACAAACGCCTTCTTGCCAGCCATTTGGAATTAATCAATAGAATTTTGAAAACTGAAATGAAATGAAACAATGTTTTTATTAATACTTTTCTCTTTTTCATTTACTAGAATTTTCTACCTGGGGAAAGCTACAGAATTATCAATATAATTTATTTAAAAAGTCAAAAAGCAAATACTTGTCTTTCTTTACTTTGCCAGTGAACCCAATTCTGGATATTTTGTTCAAATATCAAAAAAGAAATCCTTATATCAAAGTCCTACCTAGACTACGGTATGTACATCAATCTGTTTGTTTGCTTCAAGTGACTCCTCAAGGGAAAAGAGCATATGAGCAAATACCATATATTGATACTCTAACCTAGTCTCAATTCTGTAATAAGGACAGAGCCTGGTGCTGCTAATACAGGGGTGGGAAAGATGTAGCCCAGGAGCTGGATCCAGCCTGCCAAGCCACTGGATCTGGCTCACAGCCGTCTCACCAGGATCCTTAAGCACAAAGCAGCTTCCACTGCTTTAAAAATGGCTGGCTTCTCTCTGCTCTGGATAGAGGTGGGAGGCTTTCCATGCTGACCCTCTTCCGTCCCCAAACCCCCACCCTTAATAAAATCTCTCAAAACTCTCACTGGCCAGTTTCCAGCCAAAAAGAGCTGATAAATTTTGCTGGGGACAGGGACGGTGTGCAAAGTCTCCTCCCTCCTATGCCAGGTTAGAGCCACATGGAGCAGACAGAGATTTGGAGTAGCCTGGGACTGTAGCAGACATGCAGATATCCTGCCTCAAGGTCCTGCAGGGCTGCTGGCTGGGAGCAACCCCCTCCTTCACCCTGCCAGAGCCTGCCTTTTCCCCCCACAACTACCTGCCAACCCACTGTGCCCCCTCACCTCACTTCCTCCAGGTCACAACCCCCTCCCTGACCCTGCACCCCATTCACTTGCCCCAGGTCACCACACAAACCCTCTGAACTCCCTTTCCCCCTTCTCCCAAGTCACAAATCCCTTCCAGAACCTCCACATCCTCTTATACCCCTGCACCAGTCCAGAATCCTCTCCTGCACCCATACACTCTCCCGGAACCTACAGCCCAAGCCCCCACCCCAGATCACAACCCCCTCCTTCACCCAAACTCCCTCTCACACCCCACACCCTCCCCTGCACCATAGGTACCTATCCCAAGCTCCCATCTACACCCAATCTCTATTCCAAACCCCACACATCTACCAAGAAGTGTGGCCCTTGACCACTTATCAAACTAAAACTTATCAAATTAAAAATTATTGCCTACTCCTGTGCTAATGCCTTTATTAGCAGCAATGGGTTAAGGACTGAGAAGCACATTAAATCTTTGTAGTTTAGTCCAATTGAAAAGTTTCCCCTAATTACAGTTAATATGTCATAAAAATTAAAGAACTATGCAAGATTGTGAACAGTAAAAATGCTTGTTCTTCCTTTTCTTTTGTTCCCATAAGTATTTCAGCCTCTTCATTTGAAAGCCTTTTTTTCACGTTTGCACAATTCCACTTGTTCTCCCTTTTGAGTTTCCTTTCTGCATTCCCACTCAAGCATTTTTCATCTCTTCCACAGTTAGCTTTAAACATGGGTTTAGAGCCAATACACACTTTATTTTGCTTCTGAAGCTACTTTGTTTTAATAATAACTTGATTGAAAAAAAAAACCCTCCGATAACATAATAGAAAAGAATAAAGATGATATAGTAGGCTGAAACCAAATACTCCATTTAGTCAGATCCTTTGAAACATACATATTTAACTTTTTCATCAGGCTGAGGTCCTTAGTCTGCTCTCATGGTATGCTGGTATAAATCATGAGTAATTTCACTGACGTACTAGAATTCAGAAGAATCAACCTGGTAAGAGAGATGAAATACCCTCTCCTGCTATACTTAATTTGCAAGCTCTTTTGCATATCTTGTTACATATCCATGTCTGTGTATGTTGCCTTGGCACTGTCACTATACAAATAACAGGAAGAAACTGGCCTAATTCTGCTCACACTGAAGTTAAAGATAAAATGTCCACTGTCTTTAGTGGCATTAGATTTAGCCCAATGCTGACTGCTCTGGAAATCTGACCTTATATACGCTTTCTGTTCCCTCTCTTTCATATACAGTATTCCTCTAGCAATGTTTCATAGCAACATTTGGTACAATTGTGCACAGAATTAAAAAATCTGAAAATTTAAAAATTTGTGAAATTGGTCTGATTTGACATTCACAAAAAGTGATATTTTGCATTTTTCTACTTGAAAATAGGTCTAAAATCCCAAGCATGAAATTAATAGGAATTTGATATTTCTTTCAGATAAAATTCAACTCATTTTGGGACATATGCCAAAGGTGCTGAGCACCTGCAGCTCACAATAAAGTTGGTGGGTTGGGCACTGAACTGGTGAAAACTGTGTGGTGCCATTGTGTGTGCAATGGAACTATGCCAGTTAACCCTAGCTGATAATATGGTTTTATAAGCGAAGATGGTGCTAAGCGCCAGTCCTGATGGAAATCTTAATTTCACACAAACAGCAAAATTCTTAGACACAAAATCACCCAAAATGATGAACATTTTGGAGCACAAATTTGCAAAATAATTCTTCACTTCAACTGCTCTAACAGTTTACACTATATTCATCTTTTTTATATACGTAATGATATTGCTTCTATGCTAATAAGGAACTTGAACAAAACAAGCAAAAAAAACCCCTCTATGTTCAAGTAATGTTAACCCCTTAGCTGAATCTATAATAGCAGAGAAACAAAGATTAGAATATAGCACAGGGGTGGGCAAAAGCCACTCAGCAGACCGGATCCGGCAGGTCTAGGACTTTGATCCAGCCCGTGGGGCTGTTTCAGGCCCCGCCCGCAGCGCATTCCCTGGGAGCTGGAGCTGCGCAAGCCCTTTAAATAGAAGCAGCTGAAAGTTCTTGCGAGTCTCCTGCTCCCAGGCAATGCACTAGTGGCACCAGAGTCACGAGCCTTTTTAACTGTTTCTATGTTTTCACAAGCCTTTTTAAAGAAGTGGCCCCCACTCAAAATTGATTGCCCACCCCGACATAGCATGATCTGTAAACTAGTCAATTATATGCATATAGAACAGTGGTTGATTTGATTTTCCCTATGCTGCAATTCTTAGACACAAAATCACCCAAAATGATGAACATTTTGGAGCACAAATTTGCAAAATAATTCTTCACTTCAACTAAATCACCCAAAATGATGAACATTTTGGAGCATAAATTTGCAAAATAATTCTCATCACTTCAACAGCTCTAACAGTTTACACTATATTCATCTTTTTTATATACGTAATGATATTGCTTCTATGCTAATAAGGAACTTGAACAAAACAAGCAAAAAAAACCCCTCTATGTTCAAGTAATGTTAACCCCTTAGCTGAATCTATAATAGCAGAGAAACAAAGATTAGAATATAGCACAGGGGTGGGCAAAAGCCACTCAGCAGACCGGATCCGGCAGGTCTAGGACTTTGATCCAGCCCGTGGGGCTGTTTCAGGCCCCGCCCGCAGCGCATTCCCTGGGAGCTGGAGCTGCGCAAGCCCTTTAAATAGAAGCAGCTGAAAGTTCTCGCGAGTCTCCTGCTCCCAGGCAATGCACTAGTGGCACCAGAGTCACGAGCCTTTTTAACTGTTTCTATGTTTTCACAAGCCTTTTTAAAGAAGTGGCCCCCACTCAAAATTGATTGCCCACCCCGACATAGCATTATCTGTAAACTAGTCAATTATATGCATATAGAACAGTGGTTGATTTGATTTTCCCTATGCTGCTTAGGGATGTCAGCATGTAGATGACTACATGATTAACTGATAAGCCTAGGCTAAACGGTTAATCTTGTTGACTTACACGCATTCCCCCCGCCCTTGCTGCCTCATTTGTATCACGTGCACCTGTGAAAAGTGATGTAAAATGCTAACATATAGAAATGGGTATCCTTTTACATCTACTTTCCACCAACTGTGCTCTTATCTAAGGGCACACTTGAACAAAACAAGCAAAAAAAACCCCTCTATGTTCAAGTAATGTTAACCCCTTAGCTGAATCTATAATAGCAGAGAAACAAAGATTAGAATATAGCACAGGGGTGGGCAAAAGCCACTCAGCAGACCGGATCCGGCAGGTCTAGGACTTTGATCCAGCCCGTGGGGCTGTTTCAGGCCCCGCCCGCAGCGCATTCCCTGGGAGCTGGAGCTGCGCAAGCCCTTTAAATAGAAGCAGCTGAAAGTTCTCGCGAGTCTCCTGCTCCCAGGCAATGCACTAGTGGCACCAGAGTCACGAGCCTTTTTAACTGTTTCTATGTTTTCACAAGCCTTTTTAAAGAAGTGGCCCCCACTCAAAATTGATTGCCCACCCCGACATAGCATGATCTGTAAACTAGTCAATTATATGCATATAGAACAGTGGTTGATTTGATATTCCCTGTGCTGCTTAGGGATGTCAGCATGTAGATGACTACATGATTAACTGATAAGCCTAGGCTAAACGGTTAATCTTGTTGACTTACACGCATTCCCCCCGCCCTTGCTGCCTCATTTGTATCACGTGCACCTGTGAAAAGTGATGTAAAATGCTAACATATAGAAATGGGTATCCTTTTACATCTACTTTCCACCAACTGTGCTCTTATCTAAGGGCACGTCTACACTAAGAGATTATTTTGAAATAGCTAAATTTGAAATAATAACTTCTAAAATAACAAAATCGAAATAGCATGTCCCCACTACAGGGGAGCTTCAAAATTTAGTCTGAGGCAGGCTCAGATGGATGTGGATGTGCTACTTTGACTTAAAGCCCCAGGAAACACAGGGGAGTAATTACTTCACATTACTCTGGGGAGTAGTTATTTCAAAATAGCAGCAGCGGATTGTCCATACTAATGCTATTTCGAAATAACTATTTTGAAATGAGCATTATTCCCTGAGGAAAGCATGAGTACAGATTTTGAAATAACCAGCCTGTTATTTCAAAATAATGGGCTTGGAAGCATGGATACTCTGATACGCTTATTATTTTGAAATAACTCCCTAGACCAGGGCTAAGTGATGAGATAGGATAAAATACATGGAGGCTCATTGTAACTTAAATCAACCCTGTTTTTCACTTGTTTGAGTACTTCAGAGTTATTTATGTACATCTTGGGGAGGTAAGGATAATCCAGTTAGATCCAAGCATTTGCCAAGCCATCTGTTTACAAAGAGTAATGCTGGACGGTGGGCAGAGTTATATTCTCATCCATGCTATGATTGTGTCCAGCCTCAGATGACAAAATAGAAAGCAATTTGAAACAGTGTTCTCATTGCTGTAGCGATTTATAAACATCCCTTTCTCTTCCTCCCCCTTTCTGGAAACTGCTAAGATCTTTTCTCATTGCACTGAAGGCATCCTGAGAAATTCATGGGATTGTTATTTGAAAAGTACTAGTCTGAATTTAAGAAAGGGTGCACTTTGCACAATACCAAGCACAAAAAATCACTGTAGGTTAGGAAGTGCAACTTAAATGTAATTGGACTTGCATTCTGCTTGAGGCAGACTAAGAAAAGAAGCAAATCAGGTAAGACTTTTTTTTCCCCCCAAAAAAAGTACTTAGCGAAATAAGAAAGGAAGAAATGTCAGAGTAGGCCATAAATGCAGAGAGACTGGGAAAAATAAGAACAGAGTGGGTAAGAAAGAATAAATAAACCATTGTAGATTTTTCACTGTTGCCAGATGAACTTCTGAATGGTGTTTGTTGAACTTGTATTTTATATACATATATATTACAGGCTTCAATTCAACTAGAAAAAATACATTTTTATTTTAGTTTTGTGTTTTTATTTAGATCATCCTTTAATAAAAGTACTTGTATAAATTACAAGGGAAAAATCACTGCACGCAAAACAAAAAAATGAATTAGATTATCCTTCTTAATAAAACCTAAAATCCTAACATCTTATCTTGATGACTAACCATAAAAAAAACCATAAATCATTCTTCTATAGTGATTATGGCTGGTCATGCTGTTCCAGTCTCTGTTTCTTTTCAAACAAAGTAGATAGCCCAAAGGAAATAAATTTAGATATGCTTGCAAACTAAACCAAATCAAAGCTGGTAGTCTAATGTAAGGAGTCTTACCTTTATGTTTTATAAGTTCTCCTTTAATGTTATAATTTAATTTCTGGCTCAAAATCCCCTTACATTGTGGCTTTAAGTGGGACCATTAATACATTCCTACTTTAACAGTTTTTCAGGGACCGATACAAAGAAAATAGAAGCAACTCCATGTAAGGCTTTTAGTGATAGGAATGGAGGGGTATGATTTAAAAAATTCAGCAGTAGTAGCAAAAAGCCTACCAATGTTCAAAGTTTGAAGGGTATTGTTTCACATGGCTTATAGCAAGTAAGCGAATACTTTCCTGGGAAAAATATTTCTATTGCTCTGACATCTAAAATCTTGAGGATTAGACATCCCAAGTATCCCCTAAAATCATTAAACCTTTATAATAAAACCAATAAACTTAAAAAACAACAAATGGTCCAGGTAGCACTTTATAAACTAACAAAACATGTACATGGGAACAGACCATTTGTTGTTTTTTAAGTTTATCCTGTACAGACTAACTCGGCTACCCCTGAAGCAATAAAATGAACGTCATCTTCAAAATTGTCTTTTTAGATTTTTTAAAAACCTGAATTTAAAAGTAGCGAACGTACACTTCCTTTTCTTTAAGTAAACAATGTACTGGCTAAACCTAGAAATGAGATACTGTAAGCTTTGTTAAATGAATTATACCTTTTGTTATTTCCTTTTGTTATTTCATTACATGGACTTATATATTAGACAATTTCCTTTATTCTTTTCATCAAAAGTGGTTTCCCAAATAATTGCTAGAGAGGAGGAATGCAAAATATACTTTTGTCTCTTTAACAGGCCAATATCATAACATAAAGCAATGGGCTGTATAATACTATGTTGTGCTTATACAGAAGTACTGTGTTTTCCCAATTGTCAAGGCACAAAATAAGAGTTCTCCATTCAGACTGATATTGGAAACATTTTCAGTCCAAATTGCTTGTCATATTTTAAATGCTGACAGCTTGTAACTTGAACTTGTAACTTTTGCAAGATTCAACAGTCGTGCTATGTACAGGGACAATGTTAAGGTAGAATGTGCTCCTTGCAAAATCAGTGAACAAAAAAGAGTTTGCATTCATAATATAAATATTTAAATTAAGATAGACAAATTAATGTCTATACAGCTGAAGGTATTGTTAATCAAGGTTAATTATTAACCTCTCAAAGCAGTGCTCCGCTTATTGTCTACAACTAGTGTACACAAACATGAAGAGTGCATGGCACGAACCCTGAATCTTACCTCAGAGTTGCTTGGAAGTTCTGATTCTGTGTTTGAAATAGTTTCACACAGAGGTCCATTGCTATCTTCCCCTAAAGAGTGCAGAAAAAAAATCACATCAAATTATATTTCTTATTTCAAAACCTTTATATATCTGAAAGTGAAGCAAAAAGTAAATGCATCAAGCTAGAAACACTAATTTTACATTTAAACAATAAAAAGCAACATCTGAAAAATAGCTATAATTCTCAACAATTAGCAGAAGCTTCCCTCACAAATGATTCCTGTAGCCTTTGAGATAAAATACTCCAAGTGTTGTGCTCAAGTTCAGTGTAAATATCTCAGAAGATAACATCCATTCTTGCATGGAATGTCAGATGGGATCATATCTATAAGGGTCACACATTGTGAACTCTGCTGACCAAATTCTGAAAGTTCAATTTCCCCTGAGAGTGTTTGCTAGAAATTGAAATTGGCCTGTCATTGTTGAGGAATCAATGGAGTACAGCTCTGAAACTTCATAAGAGGTCTTTGTGAATCACAGATGCCTACGTAATGGAGATAGAGTGAGGAAATAAGGAGGGGTAACCACAGCTCAGATTACCAAACTACTTGTTTAAAAAAAACTAAAAAGGACTTCATGGTGTTACTTTGACAGCTGCACCAAACACTAGCATACATATACCTACCACACGAATATTCAGCCCACTATACTAGTGCTTGGTGTTGATATCTATATTAAACCTATCGCCCCCAGACCTGTGCTTGAACTGTAATATCAGAATGAATGACTGCTTCTCCTTGTTAGATGTTCTGCAAAGGCAGAGTTAATAACCTATCCTGTATCACTGTGGTGCTAGAGCTGACACTGGCCCTAATTCTAATAATTTGAGGGGGGGGGTTCTTTTATTAATTTTTTGTCAACTTTTTATTGTATTCAGTTTTCAATCTAGAAAAAAATAAAATACATTTTATAGAATTTCCTTTTATTAAGAAAAAAAAATTGTGGGAAAATGTTGTGTTCCACATTCTGATAGAATTTCCTTTTATTAAGAAAAAAATAATTGTGGGAAAATGTGTTCCACATTCTACCACTAAGAAACTGTACAAGCATATAGTAAAACAAGTTTTCGCTATGGGGTGAAGGGTTGTCAATTCAGCTTTTCACTTTTACAAAGAGACTTTCATGCATAAGGTTAACAAGATGGTTTGTTTTTGGTGGTGCATGGAAAAATGCCTTTAAGAGTAACAAAATAATTATTTGATTCACACACTGAAGCATTTATAGAGAGGGAAGGGCACTATCCTTTTTCTCCATTTCTAAGAACACAGATATGCACTTAGTCTGATTTTCAGAGGTGCTGAACACCCGTCGCTCTCATTCTGTTGAATTTAGCTTAGTTGTTTGGGCTTAGCACATCTAACATCAAGCCTATGCAGTTTATCAGAAGCACCGAAGAAACACCACAAACGTATTCCCGTACAAGACAGAACAACAACACACATCAAGTGCTGCATTATAAGCCTTTTTCCTTTCCACAAACTGTTCCAAATCTCAATATTGTTTATTTTTTCCTCACTAGTATAAACTAAGTTACAAAACTATTACACTTCCAGTGCCTGCAAATGTGTCCATTCCTGATGGCAAAATCTCATCTAGCAATCTTCTTTTCTCCGAAAATTATGCTACATAGCTGTGCCTAGTGTAGTTTCAGCTATGCCAATGAGAGAATGCTTCCGCTGACCACATTACTTTGATTCAAGGAAGTGGTATTCCTTAATGCTGATGCAAGCTATGTCTGTACCATCTGGTACACACTGCACAATTTGCACATACATGTTCTGTTTGGAGAAAATTTAGCTCAGGAGAAATAAGATTATTTTCTTCCTTTCCCATCCCCCTATTCTTTAGGTATTACTTTGATGACCACACAGAACTGTGCTTTCCCAAAATAGATAGTCCCTGTGGTGAATATTTGTTTCAAAACATTAACACTTGATTTTCAGAAGTATAGTCAAGGGAAAAGGCTTCAGCGCTAACCTTTTAATTCATCATCTTCAGCACAGCACAGATACTCATCACACAACAGAAAACAGACCTGCACTTAATATGAGACGCACGTCACACAAAGAGCATTTGATTGCTTCATAGCTGTTGACAACATAGGCTTAGTATTCTTATATTTCGTCCCATTTATTTGAAAAAAATAAAACTGTTCATGTCACAAAGAGAAAGCTGGAACTTTAGACAATGACAATCTGGGATGAAGGCTGCACAATTGTTAATCGTGTTGTATTATAATGAATGTAGAGTTGGAAAGTTTAATGCTAATTCAAGAGAAACTATAATTCAGTTTTAACATTGAACTAATCTATCAGTAATGTAGCTGATTAGATATGTAGGGAGTGAAAAGAGCTCTATCTGGTTTTTGGCAGTATTTGCACTAGGGATGTGATAGTTCAAATGCTTAAACAGTTAACCAATGAGCCTAAGGAAGCAGCCAGAAACCAATGGTTGCTAGCTTTTAAGTAGGCTCTTGGGGAACCACCTGCCCCACAGCACTGCTGCTTTTGAGACAGAGTAGGAATATTAGAAAATATTAGATTTTAATAATTGTGTAACCACTAAATTTCTTAGCAGTTACACAGTAACTTCATGCCCCTTGGGGAAGGGGCCGGCAGCCCGTGTATACTTGGCTCCACTTCCGGGGAGCACCCTACAACCCCATCCTGCTGCCTCTGTATTAGAGGCAGCAGTGCAGGGTGGCAGGCAGAAGCTGGTCCACAAGGGGCGCTGGTTTAAAAACCAGCTTCCTGTGCACATCAGCTCCCATCTGCCACCCCATGCTGCTGCCTCTGATAGAGAGGCAGCTGCATGGGGCAGCAGCAGTCCCTTTCCACAGAGGCCTGAGCTCCCTGGAGACAGAGGTTGCTCTAGCATCCCATGCAGAGGCAGCATCATGGGGCAGCAGGCGGGCTCCCCGTATAGACTAGCTCCTGCCTGCAACCTTGCATTGACAGAGGCAGCATCATGGGGCAGCAGGCGGGTTCCCCATATAGACTGGCTCCTGCCTGCAACCCTGCATTGATGCCTCTGTATCAGAGGCAGCAGCACGGAGTGACAGGTTACTCCCATGTATGCTCTTCATTGAAAACTCGAACCTGTGGGCTGGGACTGAGCCAACCTGCTGGTCTGAATTTTAAATGCAGAGCACACTGGGAGTGAGGGGGGTTGTTGTGATTAACCAAGACTGTTAACCAATAAGCAATTGCTTACTGGCTGAACAGTTAGATGGTTAGCCACTGACATCCCTAATACAGAGGCAGCAGTGCAGAGGGGGAAGGGGGGGGGGAGAGAGACCGGTGGCTTAAAAGCCAGCTCCCTGCCTGGACCAGCTCCCACACAGCTACTTCCCCCACCCCATGTAAATGTGTAACCGCTGAAACATGTTTATGAAAACAATGCTTTTTAACACCCTACATTGAATTTAAACAGAGGTGTCTTTTCTTTTGGGGTTAATTAAGACAATCTCTATTTCCAATCAAGAATTTACATTAGAATGCATGCGGTACATGCTATAAATGTAACATGGTTCCATATATCTCACTGGAGCTATGATCTGGTTTTATGAAATTTCTATGCCATAACTGATCTAAATTCTAAATGTCAACAAAGAGAACGTGAAAGATGACACACACACAAAAGAGAACAAGACATATTACTGGTTAGTACAATACCTGCTGACCATGATGGCGTGAACTTGGTGAGAACTGCAATATCTTTAAGGGAAAAAACATTACAATAAGAACCAAAAGCCTGAAAGTCACATCCATTTTATATCATGATAGTGTTAGTACAGACCTCTCCTGGTTCAGTAGACAGAACTGCCATAATCAGAACATACACAAGCCACCAGAGATAAAGCATTATCAACTGGGCAAACAACTGTACATTTTTGTCCTTCACCGTCTTACACAGGCATCTTATTCAAAAGCCTAAAATAGCATGTCAGCCACAACAGCCAAAAAAAAGGGGGGGGGGGAGCAGTCACATCTGCAGTAAACATTACTTCCACTTCCCAGGCTTCCCAAAGATGACAAAAGAGAATTAATTTTTCCCACACATACAGAAGTCCCTGTTTTGATGTTCAACATTAGATGGCCTAATAAAGGTGAACAGATCTAAAATGACTTCAGATTCAAAAGAGTATTCAATGAACACAACTACTGGAAAGGAAATAGACTGATTCAACTTTTAATGCAGAATTCCATCAAATAAATTGCTGTCCGCCTCTGCAATAGTTTCAGCAATTAAGAAATAATCACAGAATAAACTATATCTACAGAAATTCACTCTAGAAAGATAAGGACACTCTTCCACATTTATGGAATATGAGTAAGCATTATTTATGCTCCATAGTCAACAACATGCAGTTTCTGCAAAAAATGCCTTCCTACTGCAACCACCATCTCTGATATCTCTTTTATTGCATACATAGATGATAACCTTTTCAAAAGCACCTCATGATTTAGGAGCCTACACTTCATTGTAAGTCAATGAGACTAAAGCATTTATGAAGACGTGACTTAGGCACTTTTGAGCCCTTTACTCCTGAAACACTATAGACTTCCCATGGTCAAAGGCTTTCACTTTGGTGGTACAAGCAGCCATTGCTTGCAGAAGGTGATAGTAGCAATGTACTGCCAACCAAATCACAGGGAATATTTTATTATCTGTAAATATGCACACTCATTGAATTACAAATGGTATCCATTTCAGTCACAGCCTAGGATGATCAAACTGATGTAAAATACCACAGCAGTACTTACACTGAATAAGTCAACAGTAGGAATAAGTAGGAACAGAAATGTAGAGGGATAGAGCTTTCTTGACACTTTGCTTGTGATTTTAGACAATTTACTGTCCATAAAAATATGGTATTTATTCCCTAGTGAGATCAAGTAATATTCTATTATAAATGTACAAAAATGAGGCTTCTTGAGTAATTACAAGAAATCTGAAATAGCATTCTACATCTCTATCAAATGGCACAAAATGTCTTCCTGATACGATTACCAGGTGTCTGGTATTGAACCAGACAGCCCGGTATTTGCACCTTCCGTTTGGTAAAAAAATTCAGAAAATACCGGACATGTAAAATGTCTGGTATTTTCTGTTTTTCCCGGCTCGGGCGTCCAACGGAAGGACAGTTGGAACATGCAATGCTGCTCTGGTTGGGGCGAGGGGAGGATGGAGCAGGCTGGGAATTAAAGGGGACGCGACTGTATTTCAGTCAGTTCCTTCCCCCCTCCCCCCCCCAACAACTTTTGCTGGGATTTTTTTGCTCAACAGAATTCCCCCCCTCCCTTTTTTTTTTTTAGGGGGATGATATTTTTTGTTAAACCATTTGGCAACCCAGCTCATCTTGTTTCATCTCACCTGAGGGAGAGAGAGAAGCAAAAACCCAAAATAAAAGCAACTGAATTTCACACAGCTACATCTAAGAAATTAATTTGTCAGATAATTCAGTGGATCAGGAATCCAAACACTGGCTCTCTTTTAAAATCTACCTGAAGAGTCCTCTCATTCTAGAAAGATCACTGACAAAACCCTCAATGGTTTAGATAGCAGTATACTCACATATTTTCTATACCATACTCTTCCAAAGAGCAAAAGGTAAAGTAGTGCAGTGTTGCTGGTAGTCACATTTGAAAAAGCAGATACTTGGGTGAGAGACTAATAAATGCACTACACTTTATATGATAATATGGTGAAATGAAGAAAATTCTCTCTTCTGGCTGGGAGACCTAGCACAGATTGCAGGATATTTTTAATTAGCAAATTTTTAAAAAAGCAAATGCAGGAAAAGAAAACCAAGGAAAAGCATCATAAAATATAATCAATTAATTAAGTTACTATGTGTAGTTTAACTACATTTATAAAGAAACAATGAGTAATCCTGTAGCACCTTAGGCTACGTCTAGACTGCAAGCCTCTTTCGAAAGAGGCTTTTTCGAAAGTATCTTTCGAAAAAGCTTCTTTCGAAAAAGAGCGTCTAGACTGAGAGCAAAAAAAGCAAGCCGCTTTTTCGAAAGAAAGCACCCAGGCAGTCTGGATGCTCTCTTTCGAAAAAGCCATGTTTGCATTCAAGAACGCTTTTTTTCGAAAGAGCACTTTCAAAAAAAGGCGTTCTTCCTCGTGAAATGAGGTTTTCCGCCATCGAAAGAAAAGCCGCGTTCTTTCGATTTAATTTCAAAAGAACGCGGTTGTAGTCCAGACGCAGGTGAAGTTTTTTCTAAAAAAGGCTACTTTTTTTGAAAAAACCCTTGAGTCTGGACAGAGCCTAGAGACTAATAGATAGATAGAGCGAACTTCATCTCATGAAGTGGGTTTTGCCCACAAAAGCTCATGATGCACATCGGACCTCCCTGGTCCGCTACCCTTGGAACCTGACCTGTCCCAGATGAGGGACTTTGATGGACGAGGGGAGGTCATTTCTGGACCCCTGCCACCCCCAACCTGCCCTGCCAGCCTCCCACAGCTGTATGCTGGGTCTCCAGGGCTACGTCTATAATGTAGCCTTCTTCCACAAAAGCTTATGCAAATCAAGCATGGAGTGGAATCATTGCATAATTAATGAACAGCCACTTTTCCGCAAGAGGCTTTTGCACAAAAAGGAGCAGTGTAGACAAAACCCCCTCTTGCACAAGAGCCGGTCTTCCTGAAAAAATGAGCTTCATTAGCATGCTTTGATAGTGCTGCCTTAACTCTGCCTTAATTGGCTACCTGGGAACTCCTGTCATAGGCAACATCATGTGCATGCCCTAGTGTCAAGGGAATACTCACAGGCAGAAATATGACCAGAGTGATGCAGGACTCTACCTGTCTTCAGCTGCAGTAAAGACCTTTGAGTGCTGTTGTGGCCAGGCATAGATGGTTTAAAGGACTCTTTTATTTCATCTCCTATCACTCTCACTCATCACCAGTTAGTAGTGGCACAGCCAGGGATCTAAGCTACCGCATCCCCAGAGCTCCACTTTACCCAACACAGGGCGCTGTCTCAGAGACACAAGATAATTACTTCAGGGGATAGCAGAGTTAGTCTATACAGAAAAAAAATAACGAATGGTCTGGTAGCACTTTATAGACTAACAAAACATGTAGATGGTATCAATTACTGTTACAGTAAAAGTAAGCAAATAGTTCTTACACACCAAGCGCAAGTAGCCATAATTTTATTTTCCTAATGCTATAACATGGAAATGCTAATACCAACAATGTTAATAACACTAATCCTCATAGTTCTCCTGGGAACTATATTTGTGTTGTTACTGTCAATTTACAGATGAGCAAACTGTAACAGAGAGGTAAATGACTACCCTAAAACTACAAAGAGAGAGGGTCAAAACCATGATTAAGATGCAAGAGCTACTGATTCCCAGTCCTGTGCTCAGGGCCATCACCCTCTGGCAGAAATAATAATGCAAACAAGCTTTGTCAAGCTGGGTGCCTTTTATATTTATTAACTTTAACAGTTAGTTGACTGTCTCTTCCAATTACAAAAACCTGCTGGATAAAACATTATTCTAGCCATGTTGTTTTGTGTAAGCTGAACATTTGGGGCAAAACACAGGACTATGTGCATACAACATCTATCTACCATTCCTGATCCTCCTATTCACTGGACCATCTAATACAATATCTTGCCTCTGAAAATATAAATAAGTATTTGATGTTTCAGTGGAAAGGGAAACATAATGCATCTAGATGAAACAGCTGCTTTGTACTACACACCCTAGGCATCATCATGCTCCACTATCCAGACAGAATGTTATCCTATAAAACATTATTCTAGCCATGTTGTGCCGCGGCCCGGGAAAAAAATACCGGGCCTCAGCGTGCCTGGTGACTGCCAGCAGGGCCGGCCACAGGCCAATTCGGGCCCTGCACCCCTGAACCCAGAAGTGCCAGCTGGGTCTCTCCCCCGGTTCTGCCTGGCGCGGGCCCCACCACGTGTCCTCCCACCCTACCCCCAGAGCGTCCCCGCCGTGCGCGGCTCCTCCTCACCGCCTGCTGCTGCCCATGTGTGGCGTTGCAAGTGGGCGGGGAGCACGCCCGGGCTTGACGTGACGTCACAGCCCGAGATTTTAAAAGTCTTCGGAGGCACGTGGCGGGGCCACACTGGCTCTGGCGGCCTCCGGCCCCGCAATGTGGAAGGCAGAAGGTAGAGAACGGGCTTGGGCGGAGGTGAGGAGGAGGCGGCGACGGGGGCGGGGGTGGGCTTGCGCGGAGGGGGAGGAGTGGAAGGAGAAGGGGCTTGGGAGGGGAAGGCACCAAGGGACAGGGTGCAGGAGAGAGAGACAAATGCCAGGGGCCAAGTGCAGACCATGAGGGAAAGGGCAAGAGGGGAGGTGTCAGTGGGAGGGGGGACAGGGTGATGCTGGGAGAGGAGAGGAGAGGAGAGGGGAAGGGCACTGGGGGCTGGAGAGGGAGGTGCTGGGAGAAGGCTTGAAAGAAGGGGTGGGCATGAGGAAAGTCAGGATGGAACAAATTGTGTGTGAGGGCAATGGGGCTGGCTGGGGCGAGGTTGGGGGCAGGGAGCTGGCGGGGGAAAATGTGGGCGGGATGGGAGAAGTGGCCGCTGGAAAGAGGGCTGGACGCAGG